CGATGGTTTGAGAGAGGAGTAAAGGAGGCCATCTTTGTGAAAAGAAACCGTCCATCATTAAACAGGGGTGGAGGCCTCCGGGTTCAACTGTCCCCCTCTTACAATGCTGTGATTGCTAGTATCACTCAGCCCTCTGTGAATAGTAAACAGCCATCAGGTGCTCATGATCCATTGTTAGGCTGATGGTCCTTCTTGACCATGTGAGCAGAAGGTTCTGGTTGTCAGCAGCAAAACTGGTTGATCCACTCTGAGATGGTGCTATTTAAGAGACTGAGCTGAATACAGCACCTCAGACTGAGGAAGTCCTCAGGATGAGAGACGAAACGTTTCTACATTTTTTTGTGGTTTTGCTTTGTTTTGTTTTTTTGAATGTCCAGAGGACCAGATTTAACATTTTTGGATTTTTCTACCTGGATTATTGAGCATGCATCATGATATTTAACACTTCAACTCTCATAAAATCTCACTTGAGTTCCATCATCCATCCATCCATTATCTTTACCCACTTCTTCCTTTTCAGATCATGGGGGTCACTGGTACCCATGTTGATCCATCACTGTGCGAGAGGCGTGGGGCACCCTGGACAGGTCTATCACAGGGATACATAGAGACAAACGAGACAAACAACTATTCACTCAGTCACACCCAAAGACAATTTAGAGTTACCAATCAATCTAACATGCATGTTTTGTTATGTGGGAGGAAACTGGAGTACCTGGAGAAAACACACGCATGCACAGAGAGAACATGCAAACTCCACCCAAAATGGCCCCCTGACCTGTATTTGATCTGGCGACCTTCTCGCTGAGAGGCAGCAACTCTACCAACTGTTCCACCTTGCCACCCCCACTTGATTTCCAATGGGACAATGGGACTAACCTGTATAAATAAAGGTTGAATATATATATTTGTATCTATAAGTCATCCATCCATCATCATTATTATTTGAACTACAAACTTTGCCATTTAAATGAGCTTATCAAAGAAAAGAAAAGTGGACAGAGTGCCGAGTGTTTAATATGGAGTGGACAAAAACATATTTTTTCACTGAGGTCTAATCAAGGAAGTATATATGCCAATAAACTGTTGTGGTTTTCAAAAAGTACAATATCAGCCGTCACTTTGCTAAACGCTAATTATGCTAGCAAGCTTTTCTCCGAAGGCAAGTTTTTAAAACAATGCGTGGTAGAGGATTTTTATAACGGGAGTTCTGCTGCCATTGAGATAATTTTTTTTTCATTCAACATTTATTCATACAGGCTAACCTTATTGAGCCACCAGGACTCATTTACAAGAGAGACCTGTTCCAGACAGAACATATAAAGTACAGATAAAAATAACAGTAAACAATGACCATAAACTACAGTAAAAATGCAGTTAAAATAAGAGTAGTGTATAAAACAATAAATATAAGTATGCAAGTAAGAGAATGAAACTACTGTGGCATAAACTTGACAATGTCACAACAGACAGATCATCAAATTTAAGTAGAAAACATGGGCTGCTGAAAAGAATCCAGGATAAAGTGAAAGAGGAAAACCGGGACCAGGGTGTTATTTTTCTTCACTGCATCATCCATCAGGAATCGCTGTGTAAGTCATGCTTTGTGTGTTCATGAGTGAAAGTGTTAATTGTGTGTGAATTATCAAAAAAAAAAAAAAACTATATATACATATATGAAAGACAAAAACGTGTGCGTTAATTCCCACATTTTTCAGTCAGGTCATCTAGACAGTTTCTTTTTTGTGTGCTGAAACGTTTCGCCTTCAGTCCGGAAGGCTTCATCAGTCAAGGAAACACACAACAAAACTGATTCCCCCCCCAGCACACACAAAAAAAAAGAAACTGTCCAGATGACCTGAATGAAAAATGAAGGATTGTTTACCTGGATTATTGAACATGGACTTTGTTATGTGTGTGAATTATTGTCCAGGCACTCTGCTGTGATTGGACGAGAATTGACTGCATAAGAGGAGATGGAAGGATGATGTCACCTTTCTGTCATGAGCTAACCAAAACATGTTTGAACCCAAAGTGCATTAAGATGAGTAGGTACCAGTTAAATAAGTAAAACTTTTATTATTGAATAAACAAAATTAAATCCTGACAGGGTAACTTACTTTAAAGGAGGACACGGAAGGGAGAACAGATCACGAAGCCTTTGACAGGACAATTCAGACAAAGACATAACTTCAAGGGTTGAATATATACATACGCTGACAAGGTGAAATGACAGACACCTGCGGCAATTAGGATCTGACACAGGTGCGACAGTGCTGGAACACAGGGAGGAGAAATGCTGACGGGTGACAGGCAAACACAAAACACAACATGCAAGACAAGATCCCAGAAAACCCTATACTTCCATTCCCAACCTGCCACAGCTGACCTGTCATCAACTTTAGATTCTCTACTTGTAAAAAGTTTTGTGAGGAGTTTGTAGAGGTGAGCAGCCACTTTATTTTGACTTTTCTCCTGTATCCCATTAGCATAGTGAGGTAAGAGACTTGTGGTTTGGTGAATTTTATTTTTCTTCAGGTAAGAAAAATTACAGTGGTTTGTTTTGTTTGTTGTTTTGGCCTGAAGTTGGTAAGGCTCCACAAAGTCAACAATTACACTATTGTAAATAAAATCACTGTTCTATCATATAATTCTGACTTAGTGGCTGCTTGAGTGGTGCAGAAGGTGGAATTGCCCATAATTAATTGCATTCCGGTGGCTGTTATTGCACTGTAGTGTAACATCACACAAACACGCCATCCATCTGTTCCTGGCCCAGCACTTCACTCCAATTTTAGAACACAGTGTGGTCCGCAAGTCCAAAAGTTTGCCCACCCATGCCATGAACTGTATCTGTGAAGTCCAAGAGTTCCATGTGAGACTACAGTTGACTTTGAGGACATTACCTAAGCTACAATAAACCTTTCTGAATTGATAAGGGTATAAAAGTGAGCGGATAATGCACCTTGTGACAAGATCTGGGTTTTGGATCAGCAACAACAACAAGAAGCCCAAGAGTAGTTCAACAATTTTATTGTGAACAGGAAAATCTCTGGTGGAGGTCTGGGTCCTGGGCCGGGTCCAATCTGTCAAGACAGAAGAGTTAGTGGCTTTGACCAAGTTCTGGACGTGCAGGTGAATGTTGGTGTCTGCACTAACCTTCTGTCTTGATGTTGCATCAGAGTCTGTAGTCAAACTGCAGTCTGTGATGTCCTTCCAGTAGAGTAGGTTGCTGCAGTGGAGCAGAGTAAAGGACTTGAGGTCCAGAACAGGGAAATCCAGAATCGTGGGCTGTGAGTCGTTTGCAGGGGTAAAAAAACCATAGAAGAAGAGAAGCGAGAACAGGGCCGAGTCATGATCCAAAAGACGTGGTCAAAAGGAGAAGGCAGAGTCAGAAACCATGGGCAGATAGGCAGACAACATCCAAGAGGGTTCAGGCAAGGCGAGGAGTCAAAAACAGGCAAGGAGTCATGGCAAGAGACAAGATCAGGTATGCTGGATTTCTACTGCTTGTGAAAGGTTTGAGAATCTGGCACTGACTGAGTGAATACAGGGAGCTTAAGTAGGGTGGAGAACAGATGTAGAGCATGAGCTTGATTGCTGGGTGAGAGTGAGTGACAGGAACAGGCAGAACTTGGCAGGAAAAAAACAAACATGACAAGCTGTGAGGGGCAAAAGCATGACAAAACACCCCTCCTCAAGGTCCAGCTCCTGACAGACCACCAGGCCGAATGGGATGAGAAGTGTGGAATTGTTTGATAAGATCCTTGTCCAGGATGTGGCAAGCAAGTACCCAGGAATGCTCCTCCTGGCCATATCCCTCCCAGTCCACCAGATACTGGAGATCCCGCCCCCACTGCCTAAAGCAAAGGAGTCTCCTGACGGTGTAGGCAGGAGCCCCCTCAATCAGTCGGGCGGGAGGAGGGGAACTGGAGGAGGAGAAGGAACAGGCAAAGGCCAAAGGAGACCTGCTGGTGGGCGACGAGCGGCCTTGGCTTGGATACAAGAAGTCAGAGTCAGAGAGTCTTTATTGTCATTTGCACCTCATGTGGTACATATGGTGGAGCGAAATTATGTATACAGGGTCCCAGTTTCATCTAACAATAAAATGTAAAAGAAATACAATGATAACATCTAAGATATTCACTAAGAAAAACATCAACTAAATATACACTAAGCACTAATAGCATAAAAAAACATTACGTCGAACATCAGCACAAACCTGAACATGAGTTTGTGTACGCAGATGAGTACGCATGAACACACATCGACATGAAACAGATCAGTAGCAACATTGAAACAGATCAGTAGCAACATAATGTGATTTTTTCACAGTGATTATTCTGGTTAGAGATTCCTGAGCTTCAGGGGAGAAGCTGTTCCTCAGTCTAGTGGTTCTACACTTAATGCTCCTCAACCTCCTTCCTGAGGGGAGTGGGGCAAAAAGTGTGTGTGCTAGGTGAGTGGGGTCTTTCATGATGCAAGTGGCTCTCTTCCTGCATCTGGAGGTGTAGATGTATGTGATGGTGGGGAGACTGACTCCAACAGACTTCTGTGCAGCCTTCACCACTCTGCAAATCTTTTCTTTCTGCAGTTGTGCAGCCTCCATGCCACACGTTGATGCTGGAGCACAGGATGCTGTCCACTGCACACCTGTAGAAGGAGGTGAGGACTGAGCTTCCCAGACCAGCTCGTCTCAGCCGTCTGAGGAAGTAGAGCGTGATGAAGAATCAGAGTCAGAGAGTCAGAGTCAGAGTTTCTTTATTGTCATTCGCACCTCATGTGGTACATGTGGTGGAGCGAAATTATGTACACAGGGTCCCAGTTACATCCAACAATAAAATGTATAAGAAAAACAGTAAGAACATCTAAGATATGAACTAAGAAAAACATCAACTAAATATACACTAAGCACTCATAACATAAAACATTGAACATCAGCACAAACATGAACATGAGTCTGTGAGCAGATGTGCACGCATGAACACATCAACATTGAAACAGATCAGCAGCAACATGAAACAGATCAGCAGCAACATGATATGGTTTTTCACAGTGATTATTCTAGTTAGAGATTCATGAGTCTAACAGCCTCAGGGTAGAAGCTGTTCCTCAGTCTAGTGGTTCTACACTTAATGCTCCTTAACCTCCTTCCTGAGGGGAGTGGGGCAAAAAGTGTGTGTGCTGGGTGGGTGGGGTCCTTCATGATGCAGGTGGCCCTCTTCCTGCATCTGGAGGTGTAGATGTCTGTGATGGTGGGGAGACTGATTCCAACAGATTTCTGTGCAGCCTTCACCACTCTCTGCAAAGCTTTTCTTTCTGCAGCTGTGCAGCCTCCATGCCACACATTGATGCTGGAGCACAGGATGCTCTCCACTGCACACCTGTAGAAGGAGGTGAGGACTGAGCTTCCCAGACCAGCTCGCCTCAGCCGTCTGAGGAAGTAGAGTCTCTGATGAGCTTTCTTGATCAGGCTGGTGGTGTTGTTGCTCCAGCTGAGGTTGTCATTCATGTGTACACCCAAGTACTTGTAGCTGGAGACCACTTCCACCGCAGATCCTCTTATGTTCAGGGGGGTGTAGGTGTTTTTGTTCCTTCTGAAGTCCACAATC